AGGGCTGAAAGCCCTATGAAGCGGTATGTAAGTCTAACTGCTATTGCTATTGCTAAGTTGAGAACTAGCTGTATTGCGCGGGTCAGAAGGAGCACTGAGAAGACATCTGTATCCCCTTCACATCCTGGACGTAAACTATTTCAACTCCTCTTCTCGGGATGGCGCTACAGGGCATCGCAGGCGAAACCAACTAGATAAAGGCCTAGGTTCTTCCCTTGTGCCATCACTCTGATGAACATCTAATTCTTGCAGCTCTCTCTAACATCTATATATATTTACCCGTGGAGGAGGGCTGCACTATTATCACTTATCCTTCTTATTACCTTCTCTATTGTCCTCTTCCTCTTGGCATTATGATGATGATGATTCTCTCTTTTGCTTTGCATGTACCCTGAGAGTTTCTCTATTAAACCTATGTTATAAAAAGTACAAATGGACAGACTCACCCCAAAATGTGCATGAAAGTGCCAAGCAAGCTAATGCAGAAATACAATGAACCTCCCATGATGGCTGGGGAATTCTGGGAGTTGAAGTTCTGGAATCTTAAAGTTGCCGAAGTTGAGAAATGATGGTTTATGCTCCTTCCTTCCTTTCTCTCTCTGTCCTTCCTTCCCTCCTTCCGTTCCTTCCTTCCTTATTTACTTACCTACTTACTTACTTTACTTGGATCTACCTTCCTTCCTACCTTCCTTCCTTCCCTCAGCTGTCTTCTTCCTTCCTTCCTTGCTCCCTCCCTCATTTCTTCTTACAGTGACCTTTCCCTTCCTCCCTCCCTTCCTTCCTTCCTTCCTTCTTTCTCCCTTTTTCCTTCCTTTTCCTTCCTTCCTTCCTTCCTTCCTTCCTTCCTTCCTTCCTTCCTTCCTTCCTTCCTTCTCAAATTTATATGCTGCCCATCTCACTATCACAGGACTCTTATATAACTTTGATGGTTTCATTATTTAACTAATCGCTCGGGGGGGGGCTCTCATGTCCACCCCCCCCCCACATTGCCATAACTTCATTGGGGACCAAATCTGAGCACAGAGAACACACCCCTCCGGCCGGATTGTGCGCAACAGTCCCATCCTCAAAATTAATCTCCCGAAACACGTCGTTCCAACTCAGAACCTGCTGCAATTCACCGGAGTTAGAAAAACTCATTTGGGGCCCCCTCCAGAACATAACTCAATTTTATGTTTTGCATTCCACCTAATACATGAATTCTACAAGGGCTACTCAATAGCAATAGAGCTTAGACTTATATATCGCTTCATAGTGCTTTTACAGCCCTCTCTAAGCGGTTTACAGAGTCAGGCTCTTGCCCCCAACAATCTGGGTCCTCACTTTACACACCTCGGAAGGATGGAAGGCTGAGTCAACCTTGAGCCTGGTGGGATTTGAACTGCCAAGTTGCAGGCAGCCAGCAGAAGTAGCCTATAGTACTGCACTCTAACCACTGCGCCACCTCAGCTCTATCAAAAGTCCCATCTGTTCAGTTTTTGGCTTGCCAGGAGCAAGCAACGAGGAAAAAGGGCTCAATTTTTTTTTTTTTTACTTACTGAGAAATCAGCGTCTTCTGCTCTCAAGTGGTCTGCGATATAATGCACGCCTTCGACGGCTAACTTCAAGGCGGGTGACATGAGCAAAAACTGCTGCTCCTTATGGGCTTTGCTCCCTTGTCCCGACGTGCTGGCGGATTCCTTCTTTTTACATTTACATTTACAGTGGATGGCTTTGGCTTTAGGCTGGTCCACGTTCAGGTGGCCCTGCGGGGACGCTGGTGACCCACTGGACTGGCCGTTGGTCTGGGAAGCCTCTTCTTGCAAGTAGCAGTATTGGATGCTCTTGGATCGGTAACGTATGGTCCCTTCTTCCGCTTTTCCTGAGCTGCTGTACATCTGCTGGACACTTAAGGATCGGCCTTGGCCCATTGAGCCGGACTGAAGGTCTCCAAGCGGGTGACTGGGAGGCTGGAGTGAGGTGCAGCTACCTCGGATGGGTTCTGGGTTAGGCAGCATTGAATACTGGCCAGAGGGTGACTTACACACCGGCTGTGGACTTTTTTGGTCCTCAAGTTGGGTCCCAAAGGACGACGTCGGGGACTGTTCATTGCTCGGCGGGCTGTTGGATGACGAGGTGATAAAGTTGGGCTCCACTTCTGTCTCCGACCAAAAGCGTTGCGAGTTGGCTATTTTGTGCATGGACTCGATGAGCTTCTTGCAGTTGTCCTTGACTGCCGAAGGGCGCTTCATGAAGAGGAGGCGCGGGACGACATCCAGGAAAACCCGCCGCACCCAGTCGGGCATGGTGTGGGTCCTGGGGGAACGGTGGTGGACGTTGAGCACGAAGACGGTGATGATGATAGACAAGGTGACGAAGATCATGGTGAAGAGGAGGTACTCGCCGATCAAGGGGATGACCAAGGACGTGGAGGGGATGATCTCGGTGATGAGAAGAAGGAAGACAGTCAAGGACAGCAGGACGGAGATGCATAGGGTGATCTTCTCCCCACACTCAGAGGGCAAGTAGAAGACCAAGACGGTCAAGCACGAGATCAGAAGACAAGGAATAATCAAGTTGATGGTATAGAACAGAGGGAGACGCCGGATGATGAAGGAATAGGTGATGTCTGGATAGATCTCCGAACAGCACTCGTACTTCTTGATGTTGTAGTTGCCCACAGCATTGATGATCACCCATTCGCCGCTCTCCCAGTAATCCAGTTGGTCCACATGGTGGTGCATGCTTTCTAGGTCGATCTTGGCCTTGTCGTAAGTCCACGAACCGAACTTCATCGTGCAGTTCTGTTGGTCGAAGGGGAAGAAGGTGACGTCGATGCTGCACGAGCTTTTGTAGATGGCGGGGGGCGTCCATTTGATCCGACCGTCGTAGAAGAGGTGGGCTTTGGTCAGGTGGGTGACCGCGAAATCCCCGTCGGCGCTGTGGGAGGGAAGGAGAAGAAAATACAGGGTGGAAATATTGTAAACAAGGTAAAAATATGTTTTTAACTAGAATGTATGGGAATCATATTAAAGCTGTAAAATAATTATGTTATGTTGATTATATAAAATCTGAAGATGCCTATTGTTAATGGAAAATAGGCGGAAAAGAAATGATAACATTGTCTGTTTTTAAAGAGAAGGAAAAATTATTTTGTTTGTACATGTTAAAAGTTAGAAATTGGAAAACAGGAGAAGAAAAGTAATACGGCTAAAATTGGAAACAATGGAAATATAATGTAAAATGAATCATGTCTTTTGGTGGGAATGTTAAAGGGGGAATCCGGACAACACTGTTCACAAAAGATTTTTTTTTTCTATGCAACAAAAAAATAAATAAAAAACTAGATTAAAAAAAAAAGAAAATACAGAGTGGATTTTTGGAAGGAAAAGCACCAGAAGTCAGCCTATTCTCCAAAGTGCCTGAGGGCAGGAGA